ATAGGCACAATTTATTTTAGCTGCACACTCCGTCCTAGCCCGTTCTTCCCTGCTTCCTCACTCCGCAGAAGAGCTGGCACGCAGTGCCCTCCACATATACTCCGTCACCCCTTGACAGAGATCGTTTGTGATGCCATACGCTGACGCACGAATCCATGTCGTAGCTTCAAAACATCCTGCCCCAGTAGATGCCGAAGTAGTCCGCACTCAAAGCAAAACGAGCTTCCGCTTCGCTTCGCACTATAACATCATAGAGATGCACGCATGCGCATTCACACCCATGCCTTCTCTCTTACAGGCTGAAACGTAATAATACCCGTGACCGCGCCATCACGATGAATTTGCTTTGCGTTATGTAGACACAACAAAACAGTTTGGCCGCGAAGCTATTGACGTAGGCCACTTTCAAAGCAAAACGAGCTTCCGCTTCGCTTCGCACTATAACATCATAGAGATGCACGCATGCGCATTCACACCCATGCCTTCTCTCTTACAGGCTGATTGCATTATTATGGGTACTGGTGCGGTAGTTCTACTTAAACCGCACGCAATAAATCTGAACGACGTGACCGTTCCTGTAGCTAAACACTGCGGATCTCCCCGACTTTGAATGTCCGTTACGTGCTTGTATTGTCGCGAAGACAGCGCGCAATAGCAACACCACATAAGCTCGCCCCGCCGCAGCCGTAAACACACGCACGCACACTGTATAAACACACGATGCTAAAGCATGCAGGCCCAATTGCGTTGAACAAAAGACTGCTAATAATGCTAACGACAGAATGCGCTGATTTCACCGAAGCAGACGAATTGCTTCCATGCTCAACACCGAAAGCCCGACGATGCAACTGGCTGCATGGGGATCTCGCAGCTTAGAGAGGACGACTCTCTGTTTGTGTTTAATCCCTATGCGTTCTGGATGTTCCATATGTTGCGCGTAATTAGCACCGCAGGACAGGACACAGTGCAAGCAGCGATCACTAATACCTGTCCACGATGAGGCAACCTGCCGCGAGATGCGTAGCCCGAAAGAATATCAGTGACATATTCGAAAAATGCACATGCCCCAAACTAGCAGCAGCGTAGCCAGCCTAGTCAGACCTGCTATATCCGGTGCGCGAAGAAATGAGCTCCTCTTTCTCATGTGCAGGCGCCAAACAGATAGACACAATTAATGCTCCGACGTGGGTCGGCCCAGCCCGCCCTTCGCTAAGCCCGTTCGCTGAGCAGCAAACAACAACGAGTGCCACCATACATAACAAAGCGCGACATCGATACCACTAAACGCTTGACACAAATCAACGCGAAGTTGTTGCTGCCTCCTACCACACCTTGCACTGCACACGCACTAAATCGCCAAGTCACTCATATCACTTGCAATGTCACGCTGTGTCTCGCAGCCTACACCACAACGCCACAACACCCAGTGATTGAAGCCAAACGAGCTGGCAATGCATCATGCGCATCTCAATCAATGCCAGCTTTCATACACGCTGAAATAAAACAGCGCCCATAGCCGCGACGGGGAAAAAAACTTTCTCCGCGAGCTTTAGGCATGCTTTAGGTTGTACAGCGCTTCTCATCTATTTACATCTGGCTCCTCTGGTACGTCGTGCATAGCTCGTGGATGAAACAGTGCAAGCGTAAGGCCAACAACGGCTTTGCTGCACCGCGACCCTAAATTCCGCGCATACAAAACGCGCAAACCCACGGTGTTCACATAAATGCTGATTCCGCGCCAAATACTGCGTACCCGACGACTGGGAGACGGAGCTGAAGGAAAAACAGCCAAGCCTTTACTCATTATTAAATGTAAAACCGTTTATCTGAGTGCAAAAGGACTCTCGTGCAAATCACATCCACTTACAATGACCAACAAGAATTGTAGATGATCAAGATCTGCATGAAAAAAGCAGGTACATGCAGACCGAGAGCCTGCGTTGCCGGCGCCTAACACATTGGATACTTTGGGCGCACTGAAAAAAAGCAAAGCCCTCAACCGAGCATCACACACGCATTGCTAAATTGTACCAAATCACAAAACAAAACGGATTTGCGAATGTTGCGAAGCTACCGACGACCGCCTGCAGTCCGGCTCCCGCCTTCCGCTTTTTACCATGCAAGCGCCGACGCTACACAGTTCGTGCTCGCCGCGCAGTTAGACCCAACCACACCGTTGCCATACCCGTGAAACGCGGAACACCTGCCATCGTATACAACCGATCGAGTCATCCACACCACACAGCACTATGCGTTCCGCACAAAACACCGAGCTGTGGCCTCTTCCTGGAAGATCTACGAGAGTCGAAACTCTACAGCACGTCCAAGATATGAAACGTACATCAGCCCAGGCGTCCTGTATTACGTTCGCCTCCAATGATTATCGACCGGTGCCATGGCCAGCTCTCCACCAAAGTGGCTAGCTCGAAACCGAACCAGACACACACTCACAAATTGCACCAACTGCGAACAAAAACGGCTTACCTAATCTCTCCAAACCACAAAGACACGCACGCAACACAACCACCGCCTTCGCACCTCTCCGGCACCCAGCAACTACACAATGACCTACTGATTTTACGTTCTGTCATGCAATCGCCACGCCTCGTTACACAGTTCGTGCTAGCCCCGCCGTTGGCCTCCGTCCGCCCTTCTACTCACCCGTCCTTCGCAGAATAACCACCGTTACACATGACTCCGCGGACTCCCAGAACTACTAAGCGTTCGACGCAAATCACAGCGTTGTCGCAGCTGCCCCCTGCCACGTACTCCCATGCAGACATGCTGCCTCGCTGATCCACTAAGGTCCCCTGCCACGTCAGACACTCTCTCGCAAACCACATCGTAACTCCGACATATCCCGCCCAGCAAATGCCAAAGAACCGCACCGCTAAAAGAGAACAATTTTCCGCTTCCTCGCACACTAAAATCCCATCAATCTGCACGCATGCACATGCCCATCCATCTCGACCACCAAAATACCTAACACGCAGCAGTGCCCAACAACGCGTCAAAAACAAAGGTTGTCGTTCCTAGATGCTTACGGACTGCGCAACGCAGCATGCGATCCTCGCGCCAGGAAAGCCTCTGCAAAGCCGCCGCCGTTAACCCGCACACAAAACTCCACAGCGCCACACTGGTCGCATACGCAAGAGTCCTAGCTCTCAAACAAATCCATACGCCTGTTGGCAGAACGGGCTGGCGCCAATAAGGACAACGGGACTACTCCCAAGCATAATACCCAATGCCCAACGGTCCGGCTGGACGCATAACCCGTCCTCGTCCAATCCCGTCTTCTTGCAAAACCTACGAGAGTCGAAGATTTGCACGGCCTCCAAGATACGAAATGCACATTGGGCCAGGCGTCCTGTATGGCGTTCGCCTCCAATGCGTATGGACCGGCGCCACAAACACCCGTGCACAGAAGTTGTTAGGTCGAAGCAACACCAGCGGCCCATTAATAAATTGCATTAAATGCAGGCAAAAATGGCTTACCTAATCTGTCCAAACCACAAACACCATGGCTTACCTAATATCTCCAAGCCACAAAGGCCCCCCCGCAACACAACCTCCGCCTTCGCTCCTCTCCGGCACCCAGCAACTACACAATGAGCTGATTTTACGTTCTCTTGTGCAATCGCCACGCATCGTTACACAGCTCGTGCTAGCCCCGCCGTTGGCCTCCATTAGACCTTTGCCACACCCGTCCTCCTCCGAAGACCTAGCGTCTTATATGACTCCGCCCACCATCAATATTACCCAGCGCTCGACACAAATCACGCCGTTGCCGCAGCTGCCTCCTGCAACGTACATACTGCGTCGCAGACTCACTATGGTCCCTTGTCATGTCAGACACTCTCGCAAATCACACAGCAACGCCGAAATATCCCACCCAGTAAATGGCAACGAACAAAAAAGTTAAAACCGAGCACGCTCCCGTTTCCTCTCACACTACAATCATATACATCTGCGCGCATGCACATGCCCATCCATCCCGACCATCAAAATACCTAACACGCAGCAGTGTCCACCGACGCGTTAACAACAAAGGCTGTCGTCCCTAGATGCTTACGGACTGCTCAATGCAGCACGCGATCCTCACGCCAGAAAAGCCTCTGCAACGCCGACGCCGTTAACCCGCACACAAAACTCCACAACCCCACACTGCTCG